TTTGCATCATTATTTGGAAGTCTACGAGATGTAATAACCATTCTTTTACTTAAGCACCAGTTCAAGAGAATTTTTGAATTTTTTGCACATTAAATCTGCTTAAAGATTTCATAAATGTAGTGCATTTTTAAAGATTCTGCTACGATTTTGATACTGCTTTAACTAAAGGTAAAAACTCGACAAAGATGGCATGTGAAAGATTTCTCAGTTTGCTACTTAAGGCTACTCCATAAAAGTCATAACTACAAAGAAAATAAATAACTGCTTTGCCTATGTAATGTAACAAAAGCGACTAAAGACAATCACAATTAAATTTAAAAAGCGCAATTTTTCAGAGTTATAATAAATGCATATAATTTTTAACCAGTACACTGCTTGGAAGTTTCACTAAAAACTTATAAATTTTTAACTCGAATTACCCCGTCCTCATCTCTTTCATTAACGACGCTTTCTTCTTGAACGGAATCTATTGGTTTCTCTAAATCTTCTTTCGAAAGACTCGAGTTTGACGGCGTTGATTGCTGAAAGAGATTATAAAATTGTTTAGTATTGGTACGTTGTTACGTTTACCTTATTTAATCGCGAATGTCTAAAAAGTTTCAAAATAAGCGAACAGTAGCAAACAGCAAGAAATAAAATATTAGAATTAGAATCATTAAAAAAAATAAACAATTCTACATCAATTCTTTATGTTCTAAACAGTCTTTCTTTGAGAAAAAAAATGTCCTTTTCTACATTGAGAAATATTAGAGTACTTTACACAACTTTTATGAAGAAAGTTTTTTTCCCTATCAAGATGTAATTTAGATTTTGCAGAGGATTAGCTGTGAAGGATATCAGTGTAAGCTTGCAAAAGTTCCTTCTCCAAGCGCATAAAAAGCACTGATTTTCTGGAAACATTTGAAAGTATGGTGTAATCCCAATAAGTAGAGATACCCCGTCGAATTATAAAAAATAACCACTTCTGTAGTTCATCTAAAAATGTTGAAATGAAGTACTTTATCAAAAAACATTTTTGTGCAACTGTTCTCAGTTTTGTACAGCAGGTGTAAGTAATTTGGTCTTTCTGACTGCCGCCAACAGCTCTCTTCTTCTCGTTTTACTATCCTGCGGACAAGAGTTTCTTTGTGCTTTTAATACTCAATTTTCATTTATGCTTGCCACTCATTTTGTTTTTTTCCCTTAACGAGCAAACGGGGAAGAGCCAGTTAACGAAAAAATTGAAAAAACTAAGGTAAAACTTCGTAAATCAAATAGCTCAGTCACCCATTAATGTTGGTTATAAAACGTGAAAATGCAATGTATTTTTTCACTTTTGACCAGCGGGATGAAAGCCGTAATTCGGCGTGCGTGAAAAACAGCATACACTTTTGCCAACTTCTCAAAGATAGTTTTTTTGCTATTTTTTGCCAAATGTCCTATACTTGGAGGTTTGCATGCAAAATGCTTCAAAAAAAGCTGCAAATTCGCAGAAACGGATTCAGGATGCAACCCGCCATTTTTAAAATACTCGTTTCGCCTAGTGGAAGACAAGCGAAATGGAATCAAAGAGAACAATGAATAACTTTCAACAAAGCAGCATTCTGATTGTTTTGTACACAGGACTGACCAATATTTGCAGAAAGACTTGCCGTTAAAAGCCAGACATAAGTCTTAAAGACCAGTTCTTACACGTTTGTAAAAGTTGAAAAAATTTCTCATTTATCTTTTCTTCATTCTTTTTTCCGTTCTGCAATTTCTTAAATCTTATTTTTTACGGCACTCCGATGTTTTGTCTTTTCTCTGTTAGTTTCTCTTTGAAAGCGAAGAGGAAAATAGAAACGGAAGTGTTAGCCTCGTTATGAAAGCCCTGTGAGCTGTATTCAGCTCTGTTTTGAATTGCTCTGGTCATCAAAACTGTAAAACAGGCTTGGGAGCAAATAATATGCGAAAAACCATACAGCACAAGT